CCAGAATTCATGAACAACATTTTGATATGTTAATGAAACAAACAGATCTCCTCTGCTTGTATTCACTTTCAGCCTGTTCTTACATTTCACAGGAGCTTTTCCCTGCCTCTGAGCTACCTAACTTACTAGGTTTTAAGTATTTCAAGTAATATGCTTCAGAATAGCAGTCCTTGATTATTTCATACACATTGCAATTTCATGTGATTGTGTAACACACATGCATTGTCTAGAAGCTTTACTGAATGGATTGCCCTGCACATACAAATCTGACACACAGAGACAAACAGCAAGCACTAAACATAGCAAGGTTCAGCCTGGGCTCTCCAAGGAAACAGGGTGCCAATGTTCAAGTACATCAAGCACAATTGTCCTTGGCATTCTCTCTGCAGATAGCACTTGGTCCCAAACATTAACTACTACATGGACCTCACGCATTTTCAGTGGAGATGTGATTACACATGGTGGAAAATGCCAGAATGACACTTTCAGGCTTCTTGGGCTTTGTGTCTTTACTACACAATGGCTTTTTCCTGTATAAAATTGCGTCTTAAAAAAATTTTGATTGCCAAGTACAGTGTAAGAGGCCAGGAAACACAGGTTTTTCAGGAAGTTTTAGTTCACACTGTACACAAGGTTAGCCAATTTAAGAACAAGATTACAGAAAAATACGTAAGAAAAATATTATTATTATTACAATATATATATGACTTTCAGAAACAATAAAAAAGTCCTATAGAAGAGAATTACCCAATGTGTTAGAGACACACTAAATAACATTACAAAGGGGATTCTATAGCTAATTAGAAGTTTAAATATAAAACCCCCAAAAAGAAAGATACATCAGTTGTATATTCAATATTCCAAATTACAGAAACTGAAAATCATGCAGGTGTTTCCTAGTGTAATTCCTTTGTGGCCCTCGAGCTTTCCTTCTCTTCCCCATTACACCACAGACAAGGATAAACCAGTTTAAATATCTAATTTAGATATCAGCAAATATTCCCAACACACTTGTCTATCCTATGTTTTGTTTACTATTCTCTTCATACAGACAGGTGATGTCTGTATGATGATAATGAGATTTGGTTTCCATGACTAATTCTCTTATTGACAGACTTTGATTCCTGGCTTTCCTCTGTTTTATGGTTTCCAATGCCACAAAGCTTTAAAGAATTTGTGCTTAATGTTCCACTTATTGTGAAAAGTGAGAGCGAAGGTTTGACTCTGGATTTTTACATTAATATAGTACAGTTGAATCAGCTGTATTCTACCTCAAAATGCAAAAAAAAATGTTTCAGGGAAATAAGCCAAACCATTTCTGAACACTTATGTGAGAAGCTGACTCAGTCACAATTCAGCAGCACCCCAGCGGTTCGACCTATGTCTAACAATGGAGGAAGTGGAGGACAGTCAGATACAAATACACATGGTACAAAAGAGTCAGCAGAAATGAAATGTGTTGCACAAATGGGCATCTGAAATGGAGTAACAGAAGCACAGTTACTTCTGTAACAGTTTTCTCCCTGTGTTACTTTAAAGTTACTCTACAGGATTAATACAATAAGAACTCAGAAGTTAAMGGTAGTTAAGCCACATTTCATGAAAAACAAAAGTCCCTTATGAAACAAAATGTTGAAATCCAACATCCTATGTGAGTTTTTTCCCTTCACCCCAAAAGTCACCAACCAATTTTCAATTAAATAAATGAACTGAAGTTTGTCTTTATGACATTGCTCCGAATTCATAAATCAATTATTAAATTGAAAATTAGGGTAATGTAGAATTAATGAAAGTGGGGTGGATGAAGTCTAAATATTTCCTTACACAGAAAACTAAAACAAATTCAAATCTTACTCAGAAAAGCCAGCCGGTGAACCAAATTTGAAAATCATATACCACGAAAGCAAGGAAACATAAAACACATAACTGAGATTTTGAAGATATGTGGTTTTTCTGTGGTGACATCAAGATGCACACACATGAACAGTCCAACAACATTTTAGGGTAGGACTTCTGGTTGCAAGGATTAATGCAGGAGTATTGATTCTAATGCCAGACATCAATGGAAGAAAGGCTTTCTTGCCAAACTCAAATAATTTATAGTTTTGAAAACACCTTCAGAAAGGAGAAATTATTTTCCATCTTTTCCCCATGCCAGTATTCTAGAGATTCAGTGAATTAGCAATACTAGAATGGAAAAGTTGTGAAAAAAAAATTTTCAGATTTTTCTGAGTTTGTTCCAAACAGTGGAAAAGCGTATGTTTAAGAGTATTCTCAGACCGGATGGGGAGTATAATTAACTATGAAGAATAGCCACAAACCGAATGCTTCTACTTCACATGACTGGAAGTACATCTACACGTGGCCAGAGTCATGCGACAAAAAAYCCTTGGCATGTGGACAAAGATGCAAGTCCACCCACACAACTATAATGCTGCCAAGAAAGGAAAGGTTGTAGGGTTCTAGGCAAAGAGGCAGCAGGAAATGGCCCTAGAGCACTGTCCATCATTATCTTACAGGCTTTCAATGTTTGAACCTCAAAAACTTAAGAGAAATTAAGAAAAATACTAGGATCTAACACCTTTTCTCTTTTTTTTGTTTCAATCTGGAACAGGGCATATCATAAGATGGTTATGGAGATTTTGCTCTCACCAACTTCATAACTGTCAGCAAGGCAAATCAGGAAGGCTGTGCTTCCTGATCTATGATTGAAGCTTCCTGCTGACACTCTTGGAGCTCATGCAGAAAAGGCAGCCAACAGGTTGGGAACTCCCATTGCACCTCACTTGTTTCTGGCACAAGAATGAAACACACATATTTTTGCACTGTAGAGTTCTCTTTGCACCCTGTCTGCTCCCGCTCCAGTGGGGATCACCACTCACTGAAGCACTGCCCCAGAGGTCCTGTTTCATCCCCACRTGTCTTCCTGCATCAATTCTTACTATGCCTGTGCCCTCCTGCTGCTGCTCACAGCCCTTACGTACAGTACAGCCCTTACTTCCCTCTGATATCAAATATTGCTCTTCTTCTCCTCTTAGCCTTCTTCTTCAAATAGACATCATCTATTGCCTGCCCTTATCACCCCTACACATTCTACCTAACGCCCTGTATTTCTTCTTCCCCCTTCCATCCACCCTCACAGAGGGTGGGATTTTTCTAGCTGTGAATTATTATGGGGTGGGCAGATTAAAAAATTATTTAAAAATTACCCAACTGGGCTACTATTTCCTTCTCTCTCCCTTACCTGCCAGAGTCTCAGAGATTCCCCATCTGCACAGCCCATTCTCATTCTGCAATGAAACATTTTTTTCACAGGGTGGGTACATAAAAATCTGGGGATGCTCCCTAGTCACAGCAGCAAGGAGCAGACCAGAGGAGGAACTGCGGGGCTGCTGCTGCTCCCGCTGTGGCTGCCTTTGACACCTCAGTTTCACATGCTAACAACACAACCACCTTTCTGCCACATACTTCTCCAGGGTAAATTCATGTGCAGACTCTTTTTTCCCCAGGCTCTCTAGCTGAAACATTTTACAAGTAATAGCGAAATCAGAGCTAAAAAGATCAGGTGATAATGCAGAGGAAGTGCACAACATGAAGGATAAGCCCAAACATGTCTGGTATCGCCAGTCATACTGAAAGCACTCCAGAGTTGTCAAAAGAACATGGGGGAAGGGAGACAGAAAGACTGAAACAGAAAATGTAATATTAACCTTTCACCAGCACTTAATGGTAAAGTATCAACTTTTACTGCTACTTGAATTACATATTACATGAATGGTGAACAGAAGCACAAAGTAATATAAAATAGAAAGATGTTCGTTATGTAGCCCCTGAGAAAGAAATTGAGAACATATCCTGCAAAACAGTACATGGAGAAATTTTGCAATGTGTTCCCCAAGTTACATCTCTTTCTGAGGAAACAGTATGTGTAAGAGATTTTTATGTACATCTTCTAAGGACTGATTTCCTACAGAATTCTTTTCCATCGTTCATCTGGATTTGTAGACAGTAAAATATGAAAACAGTAAAGAAAAATATTAAAAGATAATATAACAGCTTCTAAATTTAAGCTTGCTGTGTAGAATTGAGCTCGTAAAAAATCAGCAATAATTTCAGGGTTTAACTGTTCCATTGGTATTCATGTAATCCACAGCAATTAATCTACATAAATATGCTACAATCATTATCAAGGACTGAAGTCAAATAGAAATAGATCTATCCCAGAATTTTGGTGGAGGCAAATTCAGGTGATTAAAACCCCTGGCCATTCCTACACATTATTTAACACCACACCAAAGCACGCATACTTGAAGGGAAAACCAGAAAGCAGTGAAGGAAAGCTGGATGGGTCCTTAAAATCAGAGCCAACCAGGAAAAACAACAGGGTATTATATGGAACTGCCAATCAAATTAGTAAAGCCATGAAAATTATTACACAAAGAACACCAAAAGAATTTTGTCACCTTATACCAGAATTATGTATTGAAGATCTATTTAGAAGCCTTGCTTGAAAAAAAGGTAGTGAAATGTGAAATGGGTGTAATTAACRAATCCATCCAGAATTTACTTTGGTAAGAAAACTGGGAAAGGAAATTAGATGATGAAGAGTATGTGGCTGCACATACCATAAATACCAGAGTCTGTTGGGGCAACAAGACAATGCTGTCAAAAATAATTTGTTACATCTATTGAGCATTACAAAGAACCTGGACCTCCTGTCCTATTAGGTATGAATATTAATATATTTTTATTACAAGCATAAAGAACACTTGAATATCATTAAGTCTGCTGGGTGTCTTATMAAGGGCTTATCACCAGGCATTTGAAATGCTACTAAGAGTTCACAAGAGGTGCCATGAAACCAGACTCAATCTCAGTAAGGTTAAAATCTGTATCTACAGCATGCTTTGATGGTTTTGATGCCACAATGAATATTTACAGATGTCATCCATATTTGCATTAACATTTAAAGTTAAAAGTAAACTGAAAGTGTCACCTACCTGAATTTCCCAACTTCTGTTATTTTCTTTAAGCAGCAAGTTCTTCAGTGAAGATATCCCCAATTCTAGAAAGAAGGAAAGAAACAGCATAAGTTACCATCTGTTACAGGTCCTAATGCAAATTATTCACAGTGAAGAGCAATGCAACTTCAACATTCCAGGAAGAAAGCAGCTACCAAGAGGGAGAGTCAGGAGTTCCCCCAAGGCTTCTCTTTGGAAAAGCACACAGGTGTCAGAAAGACTGAGCTACTTCCACTTGTGAATGATTTCAAGGATTACAGGGTACTTTGTTCACAGCAGCCTTGGAGGAAACTTGAACTGACTTGCCCCAGGTCCTCTTTATTTTTACATTCCAGTATGTTTACACATTACTTGAAATACATAAATAATTTTAAAATATATATATATGTATGTATGACAYAGTTAAATGAAGTAAATAAGGGGCATGAGTACAAACGCTCTAACTGCTTAGTTTTGGCTGCTTCCTTTGCTAGGGTCAGGCTTTAATAATAGCAGAGAGGTGTGGGGAGGCCTGGAACCAGATGGATATTCCAACATTATATTTCCAGGATTAGCTGGATAATCTTTCTTAGCGATCAGACTTCAGACTGGTAATACCAGGTAGCTGAGGGAATAACTGTTTTGTACTACTTCCCAATAAAAAATGTGTAACTTGGCAGTTAAACATCATAAAGTGTGTGAGGTTTAGCAAACAAGTTTGTTATTGAATTATTGCCCATGACATCTGTTACCAAGTTCAGGAGTTCTCAGCAAAAGGAAGGATGGATTACAAGTGTTACAGGCAATAACAGAAAGGAAACACATTCGTAAGAGCTGGCTCCGAACAACAAGAATCACTGCTACTTGAAGCAGCAGCAGAATATTTAGTGCTGTTCAACCTATATTCAAAAAACAGCCCTAACAAACCAGAAAAACCAGATATTCATAGAGCATCCACCTGCAGTGACAGTTATGGCAGCATTCATATATCAGACATATGGGCTTCAAAGCAGACAGAAGTCATGAGGAAAGCTGAAAATGCCAAATAATCTAGTTCACACTTCAAATGTGCATATACAAATAAGGTAGATGCAGTTATAAGTTAAATTTTATACATTTCCTACATTAGGAATTGCAACATTTTGCAGATTTTATTTCAAAAAACCAAACCAAAACAGAGCAAAGCAAACTCATTAACAAAAAGCCCCACTTCCCTACTACACATAAAGATCCCTAATGTTTTAGCCTTCATGCTATATGGCAGGGCATTTGCTTGCTGGCTTTTACTGGGGCTTGTTTATCATAGCTCAGCCCTTCCTTGCTCACAAACCAGGGAACCAAGTCTTCTCTTTCTTCTCAGATTGACACAAAACAGATWTTAAAAGTACAATTAAGGGGTTTTTATCCCTACCCATGTAGTTTTCAGAAAAGATTGTCAGAAAAATTATGGACTAGAAACAAAGAGCTAAGGCAGACAAGAGGAGGCAAAACAGACCACAAATGTAGAAAAATGCTAAATGAAAAGAAWAATGTTGTGAAGGAAAAGGGGAAGGAGGGAAACTTGTCTGCATAGCTCTACCTGTTAAGAGCTATGATAGTTCAAAATGAAAGCAAATAAAATCCTTAAAGCTAGCAAGGCAAACATTTCTAGAGTAGATGCCAATTTTCTAACAGAACTGTCAATGAAAAGTTAGCTACCTTCTAGTTAAAGACTCTGTGGACAGTATCAGATACACAGATAGGAGAAACAACGAATTTAGCTGCAGTTAACACAAACATCCTCACTCAAATGCAATGCAACTGAAAGCAAAGTGGAGAAAGACTCATATCAGTAATTTTTACTGAGAGAAAACTGTATTATGGGAAATTAGCAAAGCACACATTAATAACACACACAACATCCTAAACATGTAGAGACTAATCTATATAAACAATTTAAATATGTAACAACATTTATACAAACGAGGTAACGGTAGAAATAAGAATATCTGTATTTACAATCTCTAAGCAAAATGTCTTCCTCCACCCCTCTCCTTAAAGAAAAATAGACTAAATGTAGACTTAGAGAGTTCTCTAAACTTTAGCATTAGAAATCTAGGGCCATGCTGAAAAAGCAGCAGGACAGAACAGTGGAAGCCATCCTTGTGCAATAACATTTTTAAAAGCCAGTCACAAATGAGATGATCTGGACCAGTGGTTTTAAGTCATCATGTTAGAGCCATTTAAAATCCCAGATGAATGAAGCCTGCAGACTAAACCCACATCCTAAAGGACAATTTAATTAACAAAATAATTTCTATAAATGATAGACTTTTGGCTTGAAAGGCTATTAAGTGACAGCAGGGTGGAAAGAATAGCGGTTTGCAGGTACTGCCAAGGCACACTACTAATCAAGCTGTGCCAACTTTCTATTAACACTGGACAGCTTACTGCAGACTTGCCCAYATCCCTCTCTCATTAAAATAGTCAGTTATAACAAGCATTTGTCAAAGTGCTATCATTTGTGAGAATTTGGAGCTTCATGCTTGTCTGAAGCCTTGTTTTCGAGCCTGTATTTCTAAGTAATTACATTACTGATTTTACCAGTTAAAAGGAATCACTAATGTTGCCACACTAAAAAGTGATTTCATTGTCATCCTGATATTATCTGCTCAGATTATTTCTTATTTTACTTAACCCAACCCACCTTAAAAGTCATATTAGCTTTTTTTTGAGGAGTTCACTATAAAACCCATGTATGAAAACAAAGACGACAAAATGCAAATCAATAGGGTAAATGAGATATGGCTCCCTTAGAAAAGTGAAACCTTACTAGTACAGTGCTTCTACTGAAGAGATGCACATTATTTTAGTGAACCTRAATGCCAAAGTAGTACATTTAAATGGAGCAGCTACAAAAACAACATAAGTATTAACTTGAGAAAATTAATATTGTTATTCCTAAGTATCAAATTCAGAGAGTAAAATCAGTATGGCTACATAACATTTTTAAGTTGTTTTCTAATTACACAAAACAGGTTGAAATTTGATTCAGAACTTGAGAACATTGCAGATGTACAGTAAGCTTTAAAAATGTATTTGTATTAAAAAGAAAAGTGTTTTCTAAGCTAAAGAGGCCATGAGTTTACAATATATGAACAGTTCAATAGTCTACAAACATTCAGTCCCGTCCATTGGAAGAAAAAAACTGGACMGTGAACTTCAGCAGTTTCACTGGTTTATCAATTAGAAAAGATTAATCTAAACTTTGCATTGGGTTTCCCTGTCTTCATTAGAACATCTAACCTTTTTATCCTTTTGAAAGCTATTAAAAACAGAAGTGAAAAAAAATTCCTATTTCTTCTCTTTCTAATGAAATTCCTTGGCTTATCAGTGACACATAGGTCTACTTTAGAAGACAAATGCATAACACTGTATGAACACACTAGTGAGAACACTGCAAGATACCTTGGGATCAGAAGCTGGAAGTGTCAAAATTCAGCTACATAAAGTCTGAAATCTGATATTTCATTTTAATTAGATACACTGAATTTTAACTCCATTTTTGAATGGAGAAACTCAGTATGTATTACAAAGTTKGAGAGGTTAAGCCTTTCTAAAGTGAAGGAAAAAGTATCGTGTAATAATACTTCTCTCTCAGAGCATTATTTTACTACCATAGAGGTATCTTTTATTTCCTAAGGAGTGGGAGGAAGGTGCATTTAGAGGCATGTTTTTCAGAAGCAGAGACTGTGTTTTCACATCTGCCAATACAGACTTTGAAAACCCAACATGAAACTTTATTGTTTCATCAGATAAATTATGAAGTTTACTTAGTATTTTGCTTCAAAATCTAGAATGAATAATCCCTTAGCTGTCTGCTTTAAATCACTCAAGTGACAATCAACCTGTGTACTACTACAAATCCTACATAACAGAAGTAAACAGGCAAAGGGAATGATGAAACAAAAGAAAAACCCACCCAAAATCAAAATGGTTCATTGTCTGAAGACCCTCAAGTTTTGTCCTTTAAAGACCTAGAGAGATAGTCAAGTGGACAGTAAATAGCCCCTTCCTCAAAAAGCAAAAAAGAACCTAGCAAGTCACTAGATATACAAATGACTACACAGCATGCATAGCAATGTTCAGCCCTCACAAAAACAGCCTTGAAAAAACACATCTTGTTTTCCTAAGGCAAAGACTGTCAAAGTCATCACTTCCCACACTTGCACTCTCAAAAGAAGGCCTGGCATTTTGAAGGAAAAATATCACAAGCAACATAATAAGCAACAAGCGTTATTACTATGACAGACCACATATAGCAAGTGAATGGCATTGTGAAAACAAAATGCTTCAAGTAATGTGAATGCACACACAGATGGCTCAGATCTCCAGATGACCCCCCAAGTTCAGGATGGTCTGAATGTTCACGTCATGCCAGGCTAATAACTGTGCCCTACTGATGGAAAAAGGCAGCTCCCATGAACCACTCGACTCATCTGAACTCCTGATGGCCATCTAACATCAAAGTCATAATGTCTTGACCTGCATTTTGAACCCATATCAATGCCCTTAATTCTTGGTAGCAGCAGGTCACTATTTTTGAACTAGTWAGATATTGCAACTCATTAAAATTTCATAGCATCACAGAATATGCTGAMTTGAAMGAACCACAAGGATCAGCAAGATYATCCAGTCCAACTCCTGGCCCTGCACAGGACAGCCCCAAGAGTGACACCAGGTGCCCAAGAGCATTGTCCAAACACTTCCTGGACTCTGCCAGGCTTGGTGCTGCAACCACTTCCTAAGGAATACTTTTCCAGGACCCAACCACCCTCTGGGTAAAAATCCTTTTCCTAATATCCACCTTAAATCTCTCCTAGCACAACAGCTTCATCCCATTCCCTCGGGTCCTGTCCTATCTCACCACGGAGAAGATCAGTTCCTGCCCATCTTCCCCTCATGAGGAAGCTGTAGACTACAATGAGGCTGCTCCTCATTCTTCTCCAGGCCCAGCACACTAAGTGACCTCAGCCACTCCTTGCATGGCTTCCCCTCTACTTCCTTCAGAGCCTTCACAGCTCTC